ATCAATCTGATTCAGAGCGGGGTGTGTGTGTGTGTGTGTGAGTGTGTGTGTGTGTGTGTGTGTGAGTGAGTAAGTAAGTGTGAGTGTGTGTTTGTGTGTGTGTGTGTGTGTGAGTGTGTGTGTGTGTGTCGTTCACTCAAAACATAACTGACTGTTTACTAGGATAATCGGTAGGCATTTTTTGACATAATTGTGTGATTATGTGTGTTCAAGCGCAAGAAGACGTGAAAGAGATTCAGCATTCACACACACTGAGTTGAGATCACACACACTGAGTTGAGTTCACACACACTGAGTTGAGTTCACACACACTGAGTTGAGTTCACACACACTGAGTTGAGTTCACACACACTGAGTTGAGTTCACACACACTGAATTGTTGAGTTCACACACACTGAGTTGTTGAGTTCACACACACTGAATTGTTGAGTTCACACACACTGAGTTGTTGAGTTCACACACACTGAATTGTTGAGTTCACACACACTGAGTTGAGTTCACACACACTGAATTGTTGAGTTCACACACACTGAGTTGAGTTCACACACACTGAATTGTTGAGTTCACACACACTGAGTTGAGTTCACACACACTGAGTTGAGTTCACACACACTGAATTGTTGAGTTCACACACACTGAATTGTTGAGTTCACACACACTGAATTGTTGAGTTCACACACACTGAGTTGAGTTCACACACACTGAGTTGAGTTCACACACACTGAGTTGAGTTCACACACACTGAATTGTTGAGTTCACACACACTGAATTGTTGAGTTCACACACACTGAATTGTTGAGTTCACACACACTGAGTTGTTGAGTTCACACACACTGAGTTGTTGAGTTCACACACACTGAATTGTTGAGTTCACACACACTGAGTTGTTGAGTTCACACACACTGAGTTGAGTTCACACACACTGAGTTGAGTTCACACACACTGAATTGTTGAGTTCACACACACTGAGTTGTTGAGTTCACACACACTGAATTGTTGAGTTCACACACACTGAATTGTTGAGTTCACACACACTGAGTTGTTGAGTTCACACACACTGAGTTGTTGAGTTCACACACACTGAGTTGTTGAGTTCCCTTTCGCATCTTCTTGCGCTTAAATATTTCAATTGTTCACGTTCATGCATTGTTAGAATTGATAAGAATGTTCCTGGCCACTGACACCGGTTCACACACGCGCCAACTCTCATTTCATTTAGTTAACCTGTCGCCCTGATCATGCATGTGCAGAGGCTCCGGGTCACACGGAGCAATACTCGTTATTCTAGCAGCTGTAAAACTACATGATCCTGTTATACACACACTCATCCTGTTATACACACACTCACCCTGTTATACACACACTCATCCTGTTATACACACACTCATCCTGTTATACACACACTCATCCTGTTATACACACACTCCTTCTGTTATACACACACTCCTTCTGTTATACACACACTCATCCTGTTATACACACACTCACCCTGTTATACACACACTCATCCTGTTATACACACACTCATCCTGTTATACACACACTCATCCTGTTATACACACACTCATCCTGTTATACACACACTCATCCTGTTATACACACACTCCTTCTGTTATACACACACTCCTTCTGTTATACACACACTCATCCTGTTTTACACACACTCATCCTGTTATACACACACTCCTTCTGTTATACACACACTCCTTCTGTTATACACACACTCCTTCTGTTATACACACACTCCTTCTGTTATACACACACTCATCCTGTTATACACACACTCATCCTGTTATACACACACTCATCCTGTTATACACACACTCCTTCTGTTATACACACACTCCTTCTGTTATACACACACTCATCCTGTTATACACACACTCATCCTGTTATACACACACTCATCCTGTTATACACACACTCATCCTGTTATACACACACTCATCCTGTTATACACACACTCATCCTGTTATACACACACTCATCCTGTTATACACACACTCATCCTGTTATACACACACTCCTTCTGTTATACACACACTCCTTCTGTTATACACACACTCCTTCTGTTATACACACACTCATCCTGTTATACACACACTCATCCTGTTATACACACACTCATCCTGTTATACACACACTCCTTCTGTTATACACACACTCATCCTGTTATACACACACTCATCCTGTTATACACACACTCCTTCTGTTATACACACACTCATCCTGTTATACACACACTCATCCTGTTATACACACACTCATCCTGTTATACACACACTCATCCTGTTATACACACACTCATCCTGTTATACACACACTCATCCTGTTATACACACACTCATCCTGTTATACACACACTCATCCTGTTATACACACACTCATCCTGTTATACACACACTCATCCTGTTATACACACACTCCTTCTGTTATACACACACTCCTTCTGTTATACACACACTCCTTCTGTTATACACACACTCATCCTGTTATACACACACTCATCCTGTTATACACACACTCATCCTGTTATACACACACTCATCCTGTTATACACACACTCATCCTGTTATACACACACTCATCCTGTTATACACACACTCATCCTGTTATACACACACTCATCCTGTTATACACACACTCATCCTGTTATACACACACTCATCCTGTTATACACACACTCATCCTGTTATACACACACTCATCCTGTTATACACACACTCCTTCTGTTATACACACACTCATCCTGTTATACACACACTCACCCTGTTATACACACACTCCTTCTGTTATACACACACTCATCCTGTTATACACACACTCATCCTGTTATACACACACTCATCCTGTTATACACACACTCACCCTGTTATACACACACTCCTTCTGTTATACACACACTCGTCCTGTTATACACACACTCGTCCTGTTATACACACACTCGTCCTGTTATACACACACTCCTTCTGTTATACACACACTCATCCTGTTATACACACACTCATCCTGTTATACACACACTCATCCTGTTATACACACACTCATCCTGTTATACACACACTCCTTCTGTTATACACACACTCATCCTGTTATACACACACTCATCCTGTTTTACACACACTCATCCTGTTTTACACACACTCATCCTGTTATACACACACTCATCCTGTTATACACACACTCATCCTGTTATACACACACTCATCCTGTTATACACACACTCATCCTGTTATACACACACTCATCCTGTTATACACACACTCATCCTGTTATACACACACTCATCCTGTTTTACACACACTCATCCTGTTATACACACACTCATCCTGTTATACACACACTCATCCTGTTATACACACACTCATCCTGTTATACACACACTCATCCTGTTATACACACACTCCTTCTGTTATACACACACTCATCCTGTTATACACACACTCATCCTGTTATACACACACTCCTTCTGTTATACACACACTCATCCTGTTATACACACACTCATCCTGTTATACACACACTCCTTCTGTTATACACACACTCATCCTGTTATACACACACTCCTTCTGTTATACACACACTCATCCTGTTATACACACACTCACCCTGTTATACACACACTCCTTCTGTTATACACACACTCATCCTGTTATACACACACTCATCCTGTTATACACACACTCATCCTGTTATACACACACTCACCCTGTTATACACACACTCCTTCTGTTATACACACACTCATCCTGTTATACACACACTCACCCTGTTATACACACACTCCTTCTGTTATACACACACTCATCCTGTTATACACACACTCATCCACACACTCACCCTGTTATACACACACTCATCCTGTTATACACACACTCATCCTGTTATACACACACTCATCCTGTTATACACACACTCATCCTGTTATACACACACTCATCCTGTTATACACACACTCATCCTGTTATACACACACTCATCCTGTTATACACACACTCATCCTGTTATACACACACTCATCCTGTTATACACACACTCATCCTGTTATACACACACTCATCCTGTTATACACACACTCATCCTGTTATACACACACTCATCCTGTTATACACACACTCATCCTGTTATACACACACTCATCCTGTTATACACACACTCATCCTGTTATACACACACTCATCCTGTTATACACACACTCATCCTGTTATACACACACTCACCCTGTTATACACACACTCCTTCTGTTATACACACACTCATCCTGTTATACACACACTCATCCTGTTATACACACACTCATCCTGTTATACACACACTCACCCTGTTATACACACACTCCTTCTGTTATACACACACTCATCCTGTTATACACACACTCATCCTGTTATACACACACTCCTTCTGTTATACACACACTCATCCTGTTATACACACACTCACCCTGTTATACACACACTCCTTCTGTTATACACACACTCATCCTGTTATACACACACTCATCCTGTTATACACACACTCATCCTGTTATACACACACTCATCCTGTTATACACACACTCATCCTGTTATACACACACTCATCCTGTTATACACACACTCGTCCTGTTATACACACACTCATCCTGTTATACACACACTCATCCTGTTATACACACACTCCTTCTGTTATACACACACTCATCCTGTTATACACACACTCATCCTGTTATACACACACTCATCCTGTTATACACACACTCATCCTGTTATACACACACTCATCCTGTTATACACACACTCATCCTGTTATACACACACTCGTCCTGTTATACACACACTCGTCCTGTTATACACACACTCCTTCTGTTATACACACACTCATCCTGTTATACACACACTCATCCTGTTATACACACACTCATCCTGTTATACACACACTCATCCTGTTATACACACACTCATCCTGTTATACACACACTCATCCTGTTATACACACACTCATCCTGTTTTACACACACTCAT